CGGCTGCTCAGCTCGGGCTGGACTCGAACCGCTGTTGCTCAGAGCTCAAACTCTTGAGCGAGCTCTTAACCAACTGAGCCACTCAGCCGGCCCTGACTCTTTACTTGTTTTAATGCATTTACTCCTTAAGCCAATAATGTAAGAATAAGTAGTAACCTCCTTTTATGTATAAAAAAACTCAGCCCCAGGTAGTTTAAGCAACTTGCTAAAGGTTTCACAGCTAGTGAAAGTTAGAGCTGGAATTAAAACTTTATAGTTTGGTAAGAAGGAAAATTCTTGCTTTCCATATTATGCAGTGCTTGAACACTTTTTGGGTAATGCAGTTAAACATCCTTTTTCAAACTATTTCACAGCCACAACCATGTATTATACATGAACATTATAAATTTAAATATTCTTATGGATGAACCAAATGTAGCAAATGCAAGTCAAGGAAAAAGAAACAGGGATTTCAGCCTTCCACTGAACACCATTATATTCAGGAAACTGAAAATACTATTATGCAAAACTTTTTATAAAATAGAAGACATATTAGTATTTTAGAATTAGTATTTTAGAAAATTATTAAGAACATGATTATTCTATTTCAATTTTTAATTTTTAGCAAATAAACTTTTTAAAAAAGATGTAGAATGTGAATTTATCAAAAATCTATGTTTTATATAGAAATAAGTGGATTTTGCAAGGAAATAACATTTAATGGGTGCTTACAATATGTACAAAATATCTTACACAGTTATCTCATTTGATCTTCATAATAACCCTATGATCTAATTGTGAGTATTAAATAAAATGAAAAGCATTGAGGTGGAAAGAAAATAAATAACAAGCCAAATAGTTGCTTCTGAGGTTCCAATTTCCAATATTCCTTGAGATTTCTCTATGAGGAACGATCTGCAATTTCAAAATCACTCTACTGTATTTCACAGACTCACAATATTTATTTATTGTGAATTCGCATCCAAATATTTTAAATGTCAGAAATGCAAGTAAATCTTAACTGATCTTTAGGCTATTGCTTCTGCTTATGATTTCTATTAAAGAAATAATTAGAGTAGATAAAGGGAGTGGAAAAATTATAACAGAAAGCAGATTAAAAAAAAACAAGGAAATGAGTTTGGAAATAATAAAAGATAGTGAAAGCACAGGGTCTTGGACAAATATGATCTAATTCTTTAGACATAATTCTCATATATTTTCTATTATTTTTCTGCCCTCAATATTTGGTGATTGGGAAGAAGGGGTGAATTAAGGTCTTTGGATTATTAGTAAGAAAAATTTATAATGTGTAAAGAATATGCAACTAGAAGACAGAAGACCTAAGATCTAGTTGTGAACATGCTACTAAATTCTTGGTTAACTTTGAGTACATTGGTTTATTTTAACTACAAATACAGAGGGTGCGAAAAAATGTATGCACATTTTAAGAAAGGAAAAAAATGTATTAAAGTTGTAATGCTCAATATACACAATAACAAGAGATAAATACAAGCCATGTGTATACATTTTTTTGGCATCCCCGGTAGTGACTATGTTCTCTCATGTTTTTTGATATTCTAAAATTGTATGATTGTCTAAACCAGTGATTCTTCAAATGTTATTTTATGACAAATTAACCAAATAAAATTGAAAATATCTCACAACTCACCAGTGATATACCATATGTAATTTTAAAAAGAGATTTAAATAGGTTTTTATTTTAGTGAGTTCCTTTTCCTACATGTAGAAGTTGCTATAGCATTAACAAGCAGCTAGAATTACCAAAAAATAATAAAGCTGAAAGAAAATAAAAGACCCAAATAATCACGAAAATATTGAAGGGTTAAATAGGAAATTAGTTCAGATTCCTTTGTTTTGGGGGGAAATCAGATGTTAAAGAATTTGAGGATTTAATTTCAAAACACTTCATAATTGGAATAGGAATGGAAATATTAAAGCAAGGATTGAACTCAGTGGTAAATGAGCATCATCTTCTACATAATTTCAACTTTAGACAGTTGACACAGATACTCTAGGAATACATTCAGTAAATAACCTTAAGCAATTAAATAGGATGGAAAATGAGTTGGTAGCATTCTCGTAAAAGTCAAACAAAAATATAAGCCTACCTAGCAATGAGTTCTGTGCTTGATTTCAAAACTCACTTCTAATATTACAGAAGTTATAATAATAAAAATCTTTTAACAAGAAAAGAAAAATTATTTTTCAGTTAGTTTCATTCGTGAGCAATACTTTAAATTATATATAAAATATTTATTTTTTATGCTGTCATACATAAAATATACATGAAATCATTTTTATTTAAATGTAAGTTATGAAGATTTTTTTTTTACCTTTACATTTTTTCCTTGATAACAATGTGCTATATGTTGTCTATTCAATTACAGACGAAAGGGTCTCAGACCATGACACCCTCTGGCATCCAGAAAAAAGTTAAGAGAACCCTGCCAAACCCACCTCCTGAGGAGACCTCTACTGGAACTCAGTCGACGTATAACACAATGGGCACAGTTTCCAGGAGAAGGATCTGCAGAACCAACACCATGGCACGAGCCAAGATCCTCCAGGATATAGACCGAGAGCTTGATCTTGTGGAGAGGGAATCTGCAAAGCTGAGAAAGAAACAAGCAGAACTTGATGAGGAAGAAAAGGAGATTGATGCCAAGTTACGGTACCTGGAAATGGGAATTAACAGGAGGAAAGAGGCATTATTAAAGGAGAGAGAAAAGAGAGAGCGAGCCTACCTCCAGGGAGTAGCCGAGGATCGGGATTACATGTCTGACAGTGAGGTGAGCAGCACCAGACCAACCCGAATAGAGAGTCAGCATGGCGTCGAGCGACCAAGAACTGCTCCACAAACTGAATTCAGCCAGTTTATACCCCCGCAAACCCAAACAGAATCTCAGCCAGTTCCCCCTACAAGTCCTTATTCGCAATACCAATACTCTTCCCCTGCTCTTCCTACCCAAGCACCTACCCCGTACACCCAACAATCCCATTTTCAGCAACAAACTTTGTATCATCAGCAAGTTTCACCTTATCAGACACAGCCAACGTTCCAAGCTGTGGCAACCATGTCCTTCACACCTCAAGCTCAACCCGCACCGGCCCCACAAACTTCCTACCAGTTACCATCACAGATGATGGTGATACAACAAAAGCCACGGCAGACCACATTATATTTGGAGCCCAAGATAACTTCAAACTATGAAGTGATTCGCAACCAACCCCTAATGATAGCACCTGTTTCTACTGATAGCACTTATGCTGTTTCCCATCTTGGTAGTAAGTACAATACCTTAGACTTGAGAATCGGATTGGAGGAGAGAAGTAGCATGGCAAGCAGTCCAATATCAAGCATATCTGCAGATTCTTTTTATGCAGACATCGACCATCATTCTCCACGAAATTTTGTCCTAATTGATGACATTGGAGAAATTACCAAAGGCACAGCAGCATTAAGCACTGCGTTTAGTCTTCATGAAAAGGACCTGTCGAAGACAGACCGTCTACTTCGAACCACTGAAACACGGAGGTCTCAAGATGTGACAGATTTCCTAGCGCCTTTACAGACTTCCTCTAGATTGCATAGTTATGTGAAAGCAGAGGAAGATCCAATGGAAGATCCTTATGAGTTAAAGCTTCTGAAACATCAGATTAAACAAGAATTCCGCAGGGGGGCTGAGAGCTTAGATCACCTTGCTGGTCTTTCCCATTATTACCATGCCGATACTAGCTATAGACATTTCCCCAAATCTGAAAAGTATAGCATTAGTAGACTCACACTTGAAAAACAAGCAGCAAAACAACTACCAGCAGCCATACTTTATCAAAAGCAGTCAAAACATAAGAAATCACTCATTGACCCTAAGATGTCAAAATTTTCACCTATTCAAGAAAGTAGAGACCTTGAACCTGATTATTCAAGCTATATGACCTCTAGCACTTCATCTATTGGTGGAATTTCTTCCAGAGCAAGGCTTCTTCAAGACGATATCACTTTTGGCCTCAGAAAAAATATTACAGACCAACAAAAATTTATGGGATCATCTCTTGGCACAGGACTGGGCACATTAGGAAATACCATACGGTCAGCTCTTCAGGATGAAGCAGATAAGCCATACAGTAGTGGCAGCAGGTCCAGACCTTCTTCCAGACCTTCTTCTGTCTATGGGCTTGATTTGTCAATCAAAAGAGAATCTTCCAGCTCTTCCCTAAGACTGAAAGCTCAAGAGGCTGAAGCTCTAGATGTTTCCTTCAGTCATGCATCTCCCACTGGCAGAACTAAGCCTACCAGTTTGCCAATTAGCCAGAGTAGAGGAAGAATACCAATTGTGGCCCAGAATTCTGAAGAAGAAAGTCCACTCAGTCCTGTTGGCCAGCCCATGGGAATGGCCAGGGCTGCAGCCGGACCCCTGCCACCAATATCTGCAGACACCAGGGATCAGTTTGGATCAAGTCACTCACTGCCTGAGGTTCAGCAACACATGAGAGAAGAATCACGGACACGAGGCTATGACCGTGACATAGCATTCATCATGGATGACTTCCAACATGCCATGTCAGACAGTGAAGGTAAATTGGGCCTCACACTACCTTGTTACTCTCCAAACTCAAACTTTTATTTTTCTGCATGTTTAATTTTCCTTCTTCAAGAATGTATCCTACTTTTTTTGGTGTGTCTTTTGCATGTTCACTTCAATTTTATTTCTTATAAATGGAAATTTTATCTTGTGTATAGATTTCACAGCATGCTTCTCTTTAATTTTAGTTTATTCTTTTATTATTTTTTTCTTGATTGCTTGAGTTTTTTGGTGTCCCCTTTTCCAAAACCATTAGCAAATTATTGTGTAATAAAATATGGTCATCCTTTAAATCCATAGTTGGAAAGTTTTTCATTGTATGTTTTTTTATTTTTACAATGCATTTTTAAAGTTATTGGTCAGTTTTGTTCAGCTTGTGAAATTATTAAGGTTTGGAGCCATTAAGTGCTATTCTGCTAGATTTTGCAATAGAATATCATTCGTCATTTTTGTGAGATCAATATTTATTAACTCAGAGGATATTCTTTTCTTGAGAACTTTTGCATAAGTCCCTGATATTAGTATCATGTAGAATTTTATAATCCTCCTTAAGTAAAAAGTTTGTATTTTATCTCTCTCATTATGAATACCATAATTAAGTTTGTACTTTTACATTAGTACATACTAGAAAGCTTAGCACCAAATATGATATTGACAGTAATCTTATCAGTATGAATGAAGTACTCTTTAGATTTAAAATTGAAATTTTGTACACTGCTTTTATGAGTTTAGCTATTTGAAGCTGCAGCCTCCAAATGTACCCATTCAGCCTTGTCTTTGCTTTTTGCATCAGCCCTTTTTTTTGCCCTGAACTGTTTTTCTAGTTTTTCATATTGAATAAGTGATTTAAGGCAAGTACTTACTTAACTAAAAACTGGCTTATGGTATTTTTGTTGTTGCTTAGTCATGTAGAGCTATAATGATTTTAGAAAATGATCTAGTCCAAGTCTGATTCTGAAGACAAGGGGGGAGAGGTACAGGGATGTAAAGAGTCTTGCCCATGCCAAGAAGACTTGTGGCTCTGGATTTTTTTTTTTTTAACCTCTTCTGTGGTTTATTTGAATGTAGGTATGTTTTGAGTCCTGGAAATAAAATGTTTCTCATCAAATAAAAGCATTATTACTCCATGCTTTTGGAGAGTGCAAAGCACTAAGCTAACATGAGTATTTCCCCCTTTAAATCTGACATTTTCCCTGAGGACTTGTGGGAAAATCCATTTGCATTAAAAGGATTTTCTTTCTATTTCTCACTCTAGACACTGATATGATTTTAGAAGTTCAAATCTAGATTTGAACAAGACTAAAGTAATCACTGGATTTGAAGGAGGACAAACTACTTTTCCTAGTGAAATATCAACAGACTAGTCACTTTCTGATTTGTTTTCTTCTCATCTGGCTATTGGAATGACCATTTTTATTGATAATTAGTCATTTAAATAAAACACTCTATTTTTATATTTAGCCAAGGGTTTGAATGAGTCTACCTAAACAAAAGTTATGATATTATGTGTAAAGAGTCAATTTTTTGACAATCCATATTTTATACACATTTTATACATAAAATGGCTGCTGCAGAAGAATAAAAAGGCTCTTCAATAATCATATTAATAAAATAACAAAATAAAAAAAAATAACAGGTCTATGGCATAACTAAACACCTAAAGGCTATGTGTGCTTGACGCGCATGTATCTGGAGAGACTTTGACAAATTCATTTATACATCACAGGTATTTTATCAATATGGTGTCAGACATGCACACAGATATTTCTAGATATTCCAGAATGTAGCATTTATTTACATACAATCATATAAAAATAACCAAATGTTTTATTTTGTATTTATATGTTCAGATGATGTGTACTCATAGTCATCAAGGACTGTATGAAAAAAGTGATTTGATAAAGTAGATGATAAGGCATAATGCAGCATATAAAGTTATGCACTGTAAAGATAATATCAAATAAACAATTAAAATTAAATTTAGATGAAATTAACTAAACTAAATGTATTTAAAAAGTAAGCAGATAAATTTAGTCATAAAGTTCATGTTGGTATAGAATTAGACAACTATAACAAATTGATTCACCTATGTAATATTATGTGTGTGAATTGCAGTGATTATCTTTAAAAGCCGTATGTTTTTAAATCTTATATATTTTCTTTGCTTTTATATAACATCAACACATTAACTTTTTTTCTGGTAAGCAGTGGCCTCCTTTTTTTTCTGGAAACCCTGGATCCTTTGGGTAACTAAGGGAAAAGTAGAAAATATTTTTTCCAATCACTTATTTATGAACTCATGCAATATTAAAGATTTTTTTAATTATTTTTAACCAAAAATTCTATATCTGTAAATGAATGATTCTATGATAACTTTGAAAAATATAACATTTCAACAGGCTTTTAATATCATGTAGACAAACAAATTTAACTGATTTCGAATTGCTTGTGTGCTTTCTCTGAATCAATGAAACTCTAGGTTTTAAGACCTTAAGATGTTTTTCAGATGTGTTCTACATGACTTCAGTTAATTTTGAAATAGCTCACATGAGGTAAAATCTAGGTATGCATAATTTCCATTGCTTAGTATTTATGGCCATCAGTTCAAAGTCCACAACTTGGTATGCGTGCATGGTTGAGTTAGTACAGAGCAGAAAGTCTTTCCTCCAGAGCAGACTGGAGGGAAGCCAAACTGGAAACAGTCAAGCTATATTTATTTCTACAACCACAAATACTTCAATGTATACTCCATGCAAAAAAAAAAAGCATTGATATATACAGTTTTTTAAAAATATATATACTTTGACCAATTTTTGATACTGAATGGAATTAAACTATTCATGTAACTGTTGCCTATGAATAATGCTAGACCCAAAAATAGCTTACTTATATCTTACATTTAAGAATTCAAGAAAATGTCAGTTAATAAAAGGGTATTAATCTGTAGCAAATTATTTAAACTAATTTGAAAATGTTATTATTGTTCTAAAATTTAATTTTTAAAATGTAGAACTACCATGCCAGATCAGACAATCGCAGTTATAAACAATTAGCATTTATGTCCAATTTCCTATAAATGATGAAGACAGAATCCAATATGAAAGCAAATTCATTCAATCTGGTTGATGTTGGTGGGTCTATAAATTTCTTTGCAAAACATGGTAGACATACTAACTTATTTACATGTAGAGTATTATTATGAAAAACAGCATACAATGTATGTAATCAGAATTGGAAATAAATCGACACAATTTGGTCAGGTTGAGATTCTGCCTTATTTGTATAGACACAGTCAAGAAATCATGTTTTAAAGGATTGTATTTCAAATGCAATTAGCAGAGTTATATATTCATGTAAAATCATGTACTACATTATCCAAGATATTCATTTTTTTAAATCAGTATAGATTATTTTTTTTTCTTTTCATGAGAAATATATAAGAAATATATATATGAAGTAACATAAAGTAGCATTTTTGTGGTTTGGATAATCAGTAAAATTTTAGAGACTGATTAATAAATAATGGATTTGTTTTGCATTTGCATATCAAATTTCTATTACATTAAATATTTTTTATAATGAGTCAATGTATATCAAGTTAAAATTGTAAAAACATAATAAATACCCAGTAGATTGTGAGAAAAAATTGTGTAACTATTAATGAGGTCCAGGGAACATATTAATATTTTTAAATGTGCATATTAAAACTAAGATATTTAACTTTTTTCTCTGGTTGATAACTAATTTTTCTGTTTCATTCATTTCCCAAATATTAATTGAGTGTTATGGTATTTGCAAGGAATTGTTTTTAGTGTTGAGGGAGGAAAAAAAAACCAAAAAAAAAGAATATGAGCCTTCCCCTCGCGCATCTTAGAATTTAATAGGGGATATCAGATAAGCACATGTACAACCACAAACCAGGTATGTACCATTGTATTTCCTCAAATCTAGACTGACTAAATTACCACACATTGTCTATCATTTCGTGTTTATTGGGAAGAAATGCTATGGTCAATCAGTACCATTGACCAAGATCACAGGAGGTGGAGGTAAGTAGTAATGTATATGCTCTGGGTTTGCTACCCTGCCAGCAAAGAAATAATGGAAATTGCCTTAAAATCTTGAGAGAAAGTTTTGTACAAGAAGACAATCAAGGAGGTAGACATAATTAGAAAACTATAATGTGATAGGGAGAGGAACTCAACAGTGTGGCATTATAGACGTTAGACTTTCCAGAGTATAGGTTAATAGCATTGTCAACTAATCTTTCAGGATGAGCAACTGAGAAGGCTACTCTGTCTGCCATTTAGGAAACAACAATGTATTTCCAGAAACTATTAATTAGGGACCCTTATACAAAGAATAAAACTTTATATGTAAAGGCAAATCCTGCATATTATGTACAATAGGATTTTAAGTCACTAAATAATAGCATTAAAAAACTTTGGAAGTACTAAGAACTGAATGGGTTGAAAGTTTTCAAGTAATAATTATGTATTTAAATATGGTTGCATTTTCAAAAAAAGTATTTTAAAATATCAAGTTTTGTCACATAAGTACAAAAAGCAGTCAATCAACTCTTCAATCTAATTCATAAATTTATAATTTCACAGAAAATAAGTTTTAATAAAAAATTTAAATGACATTTTTAATATTTTATTTTTTATGAATGTCATAGAAATGTCATGTTTTCAAAATATACTTGATGTTCAAAGCCAACAGCCACATATATATTAAGACTGGGTTGATGGAATATTGGAAAAGTGACAGGATCTTCTGTATTCAAGTCTAAGGAATACATTTTCCTTACAATTTAGTGTTGGATGGTGGGGCCAGGTGAAGAGTTGGGAGCTAAAGGACTGAGTTTGAATAGAATGACTTCTGAGGAATATTCCTTGTTTGTTTGTTTCAATCACTGTCTAAATTTCTTTTTTTCTCCTAATTTAAATTTAAATTTTGTTTTATTTTGCTCTGAGAAGTTGAACAGGGATGTGCATCATATTTTTCAAGGTTATTCCATGGTATAATTTTTTAACACAATATTAGAAATTCTTTTTTTCATCCCATTGGGAGTCATGTTTCAAATGCATGAATGGCTGACAAGCCTGGAGCATGTTGGTACTTTAGAACAGCTGCTGCCCTCTATCATTTGTATTAGTTTGTGGTTGCAATGTTTGACATTCCTTTGGTCTTCAAAGCTTATCACCTGCGTCGTGAAGAAACAGATTGGTTTGACAAACCCAGGGAGTCTCGTTTGGAAAATGGACCTGGTCTGGATCGAAAACTGCCAGAAAGATTGGTCCACTCTAGACCACTCAGTCAACATCAAGAGCAAGTAAGTGTTATATTATTGAGCAATCTCTTTTAGATTTATACCACCCCTCCATCACCCCAGAGTGGTCTCAGTTATCCTAAAAAGCGTGAGACTTTTGTCAGTCAAGTTCACAAAATAATGTTTTCAGTAACTTAAAGTAGTAAATACTTTATCAGTCATGACTGGTTCACATTACAGTATAGCTATGATGTTTCTACCATGCAATTTAAGTGATTCACTCCTCCATCAGATAAACTTAGTGTAACATACCCAACATTGATATACAATAAAGCTCCTGAAGAGCTTACAGATTATCGGGTGAAATATATTTGGGTAATTTCAATGCTTTCCCATAACAGTATGTTCATATATTGAGAATAACAAAAAAGAGAGTGACCAAACCAAATCAGCTGGAGACAGGGAAGGCTTCGCTAGGAAAAGAAGGAATTGTATTTTAGATTCTATTAAATTGAATTGTTTGTTTTGTATTCATATTTTTATTTTATCAGAATTCACATAAAGTGGGTATTATTAATATCTATTTGTAGATGAAGAAAGTGAAACTTAGAGATAAACTTCACAGTTAGATAAATGATACCAAAATGATCTTATTTACTTTAGAACAAATGAGGTGATGTTTGAGTTGAATTTTGAAAGATACTTAAGAGATCAACAATTGGGTAAAGTAAGAAAGATTTCTCTGGTAAGCTAAGTGGCCTTAAATAATTGCCTTAACAGATCAGATTTTTGCAGCCTCTGTACTCATAACCATTAAAATACCCACAAAGGAGATAGTTGATTTATTTTACATATATTAGCTTCTGACTCACCCTGTCTGGTTACTGATTCATTGGTATTAAATAAATATATATTGAACAAGAGGAACCATATGAACTTACTATACTTTATTTCAGTGTTTGCCACATTAAGGTATAAAAGAAAAGATTTTTGCATGTGTAAGTACTGTCTAAAAGATAATATACTCTTAGACTTGGTTTCTTCCTAAGCAGTTTCAGTTTTCATGGAAAAATTTCTAGCTGTTAAATAGAATTTTCTTTTCTCAGAATTTTGTTTTGTTTTTCTATATGCTATTACATTTTCTAGAAATCTTGGAATTTTTTTCTCTATATTGTAAATATTCTCTCTTTAGTTTTTGATGTCTTTAATAAGTTTTTGTTTCAGGATTGTGTTTACCTCTATGCACATGTCAGTAAACTTCCATTTCTTTGTACTTCATTTCAAAGTATCAGACTAGTGAATTATTCTATCTTAGTTTATCTTGTTATTGTTAAAATTGTATTTGTAGTTGTATTTCAATTTCATCAAATAGATATGCCTAGGGAATTTAAAATATGAATAAAATTATTCTGAACATGTTTTTAAAATATGCATTTACCTCTTTTTATCTACAATTGTGAAAATAATAATTCCGTAAGCTGAAAATAACTTCCTTGGATATATTTTATTATAAGAATCTTTTATAATGACTTACTATGCCTTACCTACCTAATTTGTTTCAAGTGTAGCATTTCCTACAAAGTTAGATCAAGATGAAGACACGAATTCTTTAAAGTAATCCAAATAAGATGAAATACATAAACTGGAGAGCTAAAAAACGATGGCTTACATGCAGTTATTTCCAGCTCTACTATTTACATGGATACTCAGCATGGTCTTGCCCAACTGATTTATCCAATAAATTTTCTTTGAGGATACATTTGAAAGGAATCTGTGTGCACCTCAGAAAACATTATAAAATTTTATTGCATGTGGATAAAACACTAATATCCCTAATGACCCATTTTGTTTCTAATTTTCTGTTGCTAACGTCTACAGATTTATGGTTTTCATTCATACTGTTTAAACAGTATAGAGACCAATATAACCCCAAAGTTAAGCAGAGAAGGTATATTTAATATACATAGGTAAATATAATGAAGTATTTTCTTGCTAAAAGTTATTTTTTACATTTTTATAATTTTTGCATTTTTATTTTGATGTCTAACATACAAACAGACAACTATATATATATATATAGTTATCAAAACTGGAAATATCTAGAACTTTAAATTTTTTATAAAGTGGACGATTCTATAACTACCACACAGACCAAGAAAGGGAACATTGCCGGCCCCAGAAATCCTCATGCCCTTCCAGATTGTAATGCTCAACCTCCCCCCCAAAAAAAACAAATATGCTGACTTTTGTGACAATAATTGATTGGGTTTTTTTTATAGTTTTATCTTTTTATGGAAACTATGCAGAAGACAACATACACTTTGATTACGTTTATATAAAGTTTAGAATTCATGCCTTTTTTGTATTGATATTTATCTTTGCTCTTTTTCTCATTAACTCATCATAACTATATTTTGGTCTAGAGAGAATAGCAAAATGGCATTCTCATTTTATTCACTTTTGTGCATCTCTAATCATAAAAAGGTAATATCAAGCTCTTGATACCAATAAGTCCAGGTGCTTTTATTTGGAAACATATGTGTGACAAGAATTTATGCTCGTAAATTGCTCTGGAGGCAAAAGTAATAAAACCAAATTGACTAATGCAAACACTAATTTATTTGCTTTTAAAAATGTCTTATGTACAACATATATTAGAGACAGAAAAAAATTCTGAATTTTTATTAGACACAAAATCATCTTAACTATACCATTAACAAAATCTACAAATCTATATTTGTTTCCTTTCAAATATATACATGTACATATGCATATTTGTATACATATAGGCATAGATATACATATACATATTCATTGGAAATTCCATTCTGCTTTGTGAATTGATCACCTGACCTTTTTTTAAATTTTTCTCAGTCATTTCATCTATAAATAGGACTAATAGCTTTCGCAGGGTGGTTATAATGGTCAACACTTCTTGACTAGTACAAAATGCCTCTACTTTCTGCACTTATGCCCACACCTTCTGCAATTCTCATGTAACTATTATATTGAGGTACATTAAGCTCGAGACATAGGGTCACTACTTGACATCACTCCTGGCCTTGCTCCTACTCTTATTTGGCAGAAGCACACCTCCCATGAAACCTCATCTGCTGGAGAACTCTCTTAACATTCACCTGCAGTGGTTAGAAAAAAGCCAAGATCCAACTAGTTCATACGTTAGAGGCAGACACCTTCTTTCTACAGACTTTTGGCCACATTGGTCATATTTATGGCAGGTTAATGTTTCTGATTTATTAAGTGAATTCATGAAGCTGGTTGTACACGATCTCTGGAGCTACAGGGTATTCTATGAGATTCTATGGATTAAACATGTTTAACATCCCTTCTACTGACATCATTGTAGGTACAAGTTAAAAGGTAATTAATACTGGCTAGGTGGTAAAACTCTGATGAAAAATCTGGGAAACCTTACTGCTCTCCTAGCAATACATATACTGTGATATTATATGTACTTTTCCCTAATCTGGGAAATGGAAAGCATGCAAAAGGCAAAATTGTGTTTTCTTAGTTTATTTTTGGCCACGTGGAAGAAAATGACTTTTTAAAATCATTGTTAAATAATACATTAAATTTGAAGATATTTGAATTGGAATTATATCCACCAATTTTAATGTATTATCTACAGTACTAAAATCATTGTTACATTTAATAGTTGTAAAATTTTCAATGCACATGGTTTAATTAGTAAAAATTAAAGATTTTAAAATGCAAATTAGAAGAGTGAGGAGGGAGGAGAAGTGGAAGAAAGACAATAGAAGAAGGAGAAAAGATGAGGGGACTGAAAGTAAGTAGAGCAGAGGAGAGAAAAAAAAAGAAAAAGGAAGGAGAGAGGTAGAGAGAGGCAAAGACAAAGAACAGAAAGCGAGAGGCAGAAAAAGAAAATGTACACTCTTGTTATGAATATAGATGAGGTTTTCAGTGGCTTACAAAATTAGCATTAGTATAAATTATCTAGATTGCCTAAGTATACTAACCATAATATTTTTTATAATCTTGCAAACAATATTTTAGTTTTACTTTGCAGAATTCTTATAATATTCCTGGACTTAGGAGTGTGCTGTTGTTTGGGGAGTGTTTTATATTCATCAGAGACTTGATTAAGCTTATTCTTTCCTGAAGAGAATAAAGCCTAAAGGCTATAATTTAAGCTTGCATTTTTTTCAATACATATTTTACTTCTAATATCTAGATTTCTAACAGCTGGATTGACAAAGGCACATTAAAACTACATGAGTATTCCAAGGAATCTTTCTACACCAAATGTACATCTCTTCTGTTGCAAATTATATTTAATATTTTGGTTTAGTATTCCCACACATTTCTTAAACATGTTCTGAAATGGGTAGTAATAGATGTCTCTTTCCTAAACTTTATTTTATTTGTAATTTTGGCCAAAAAATTTTTAAGGTGATAAATACAAGATTCCATACTAATAATAAAATTCTATCACTGTAGATACTACCAAATATTTCACTATTTCTACATTTCATTATTTTACAAACCTCTTCTAAAAGCAAAGTTCCATAAAATATACAGCACAAGTTTGCATTCACTAATTTACTTTTGCTTCAGAAATCTCATTTCGCCAGGTGGAAACAGAGATAATGCAATTTATGGTAGTCTCATATTCACGTCTCAATAATGAGAATTGAAATCAGACATTTGCAACAATAGCTTTAAAGGTTGCTTCTTGTTCCCAAAGGAACACCATTAGTCAGTAAAAAATAATTCTGTCATTAACACAACCTTGAACACAAAGAACGCTTCAGAATGTATTAGAATGAGCAAAGACTTTATTTATATAGTTAGTCTCAGTATCCAGTGTACGTTGAAACTTCTAGTAGATGTGCTCAGCAAAAGCATGACTGCAGTGAAATCAAAGCAACATAAATATAAGGTGATCCTATTACAGTCACAGAGATGTGGAATATGAGGATTTTCACTGGCTTTTCTCCCTTTACACCACTTAATTGCTGAAAATTAAAAATACCTTTCCATTTCTAGGCTGTCCAGACGCCATCAGCAGTTGTCAGTTTTCCATATATGCCCTCTATCCACTGTCATCACTACTGACTATGTACTACTGCAATAACAGACACCCTTTCCAACCTGTTGTATGTTGTTCCTAACACAACAAATCAGTTTGAAAGAGAAATTGGTTATAAGTGTGAAGACCATTTATAACAAACTCAAAAACCAATAATATTATTATATAATGTAAGATGCTTAAATAGTGATCATTTGAGAATCTAATAATATATTTTTATTGGTTCAATGTGTTTTAAAAAAGTCTAATTATGTATATTGCACTTTAAGTTTAACATTGACATCTTTAACATTGACTTTTCACCTTATCACATGTATGTCTTAGATTATACAGATGAACGGGAAGACTGTGCACTACGTCTTTCCTCATGCAAGGATAAAAATAACAAGAGACTCTAAAGATCACACAGTTTCAGGTAAAGAAAATTACATAAACTGGTCTTTCTTATTTTAATGTGAGATTGAGATATGTATTTGAATTTCAGTTTGGGTGACTGATTAAATTTTAGAAAATACCATATTGTTGTCAAAAGTTGTGTTCTGGAAAATTTCGAAAAATAAGCAGGCTTTAAATTTGAACGTAAAACACAATAATGGCGTGATCATTAGTATGGAAAATTGCTAAATGATACATATTTAGATCATTCTGTTCATTAACTGAATTTTTAGGAAAAATGTACCTGGCATTATAATGCTCTATATTTCCATAATTATTGTTCTATTGGGTAATAGAAAACATTTTTACAAAGGAAGTGAAAAACTATCTTGGATTCTTCTAAGGAATAAATCCCCCTATACCTAATCAATTTGAACATTATCAGTTATGCTGAGTTTTTGTTTGTTTTGCTTGTTTGTGCCATTCTATAGACCAAATCTTATAATGTAATTTTTAACCTTTTTATTTTGAAATAATTTTGAACCCTAAGAAAATTTGGACTCCCTGAAAGTAGTACAGTCAGTTCTTTTGCCCACCATTTTCAAAGTTCCCCTAATGTCACGTCTAACCACAATACGGTGATCAAAACCAAGAAGTTAACATTGACATGATACTATTAATACATCTATAAGCAATATCCAAATATTGAGTTTCTCCACTAACCCACTAAATTTTTCTTTTTCTGATCCGGGATTCAATCCAGATCTCACATTTCATTTAGTTATCAGGCCTCCTTCGTCTCCTCCAATCTGATAGTTTCTCAGGCTTCCTTTGTTTTTATTGACTTTGATACTTTTGAAAGATAGTGGAATTTTTATATTACAAATGAAAATTTTATTATTTAAATCTATGAGACAAAATAAAAATTGTATCAAAGTTAATGAATTTTTAAAATATAGGGGGCCGGCCGAGTGGCTCAGTTGGTTAAGAGCTCGCTCAAGAGTGTGAGCTCTGAGCAACAGCAGTTCGAGTCCCGGCCCGAGCTGAGCAGCCGCTGAGCTGCCAACAGGTGGCAGGAGGGCTCAGCTAAAAAAATAAAAATAAATAAATAAAAATAAAAATGGTTAAAATATAAATAGTACCTATAGTTTCACTATATACTATCACACAATGTAATTTTTGTGTTTCTTAGACACTGTATATCAACAGAAAATATTTATCAATGTGTAAGTTCATATAGATAGATATATAGGTGGTATATCAACATGGTATATGTGCCGGAGGTTTTCTTTTTAAGAGCTGATGTGACAAAGAACAAAATGAGGTATTTCTTTAGTGTTCTTATTATGGTTCCTCGCAGGTTTTAGACCTTCAAACATGTGGATATGAAACAGGTTTTTGTTTTGAGCAATTTTTCTCTCTTTATTTTCACAGAGTATAAATTGATTAGGAGTCTAATGTTCTTTCCCTTTTAAGATTAGATAATTTGTCTTCTATCAGAGACAGATAATTCAAACTTTTATAGTTTCATTGCGTACAGACTGTGCTTTAAGTACTGATGAAAATTCCAGGGGTGAATCTCAAACTCTTTTTGTAGAAATGATTACTCTCTACAAACTATTTCAGTTTCCTCCAGCTCATAAGGAAAAACAATATAATACTTTATAGCAATGCCAAAAATTATTTTTTTTTACAACAAATCTTCAATCCATTTTTACTAAATCATCAGGACTGTATGCCAATGTATCTATTTTCTAGCTGTGTTATTATTTTATATGATATTAAAGTTTATACTATATTAAAATTGTTCCCCAAACCTTATAATTATTTTTGCCACTGATTATTTTAATATGCTTTATTTTACTACAATTAGGAAAAATGTTTTAAAATATTAGAATCACAGAAATAAGAGCTATTAATTTCTTGTTGTAAGTCATCTAGTATGAAAACTAAATTCAGTTTTATCAGTATATAGATTTTGCAGAATAAGAAATGAGGATTATTGTTTTAACTGATAAATTTAGTAGTAGTATACTACATTGTCTCTCTGCATGCCCCTTGTTTTGATGTTTCCCTAAAATAAAAATATTTTCCCTGTTATATTTATCCTGCATTGATTACTACTGAATATTTTTTCATGTGTCCTTAGGTCACATAACCTCATACTAAATTAAATGTTTTGAAACAATGTGTATTGTTTCGAACATGTCTTCAGTACCTTAAAGTGATTTAAATGCATACATATGCAATATAGAGCCAGAAAGGACACTCTTTGGCAAACAGTGTCGAGAGGTGCTAAGCTCGTGGCAGGGAAGCCCTGGCACAGGGCGTTTATGTTCCTGGCTCATCTCCATGTCATTGGCTGCTCAACAAAAGCCTACTTTGATTAACTACATATTTGTTGATATTAAGGATTTCCTGTTATTTTTTGCTATGATTACCGTTTTTATATTAATGTTTTTAATAAAAATTAAAAGTATCTCTATTAGAGATACCTACTAAGATATTTGCAGGTGAAATGATACCTTGTCTGGGATTTGCTTCAAAATTAGCCATGTGGAGAGTGGTGGCAAAACACATGAAACAAACTTGACCATGATTTGATCATTGTTGGAGCTGGAAGGTTAACCACATCGAGTTTTATTATAGCTTGGTCACTACTTTTTTTTATATGTATAAAATTTTCCATAATAAAAAAATTTAAACTCCTGTTTGTTTCTGAGACAGAGTGTCTAGTAGCTTTATCAATAGCGTAAAAGCTACCCAAGCTAATAATTTAAGTGCATTTTGTAGAACAAGATAAGCATGTAAGCAAGAAAGGAGTAAAGAATAAAATGCATTGTATCTGCTCTCCCAAACAGAGGGAGAAGTGGTCATTAGTGTGCTTTCATTTTGGTTATACAAACCCATTGAAAGTAGAAATACTGTGTATCTTTTATATTTTAATAAATCATTCTAACTGGTGTAGATAGCATTAAAATAATTTAGACGAATTATGTAAACCTAGCATAACTCACAAAAAAGGAAAAAGCATAATTTTATTTATTGAAAGCAAAAATAATTTCAAACTAGATGGCAGGAATGGAAAGTGTGTTTTTTGTTGTTTTTATTTTTTTCTTCTGTGGTTCTCAAAGCATGAGCAGGAAACCCTCATGGTTCCCAATATTCTTTCAGGGGCTCCACAAAGTCAAAACTATTTTTATAGTAACTCTATGGCAGCATTTGTCTTTTGCATGCTCATTTTGTTGTGAATATACTGTAGAGTTTTCCAAAGGTTACATGATGTGTGACAACACAACAGATTGTCTACAGAGCAGATATGAGAATTCAGCTGTCTTCTATTTAGCTGAATATTAAGCAGATTTGCAATAATGTAAAATAATGCCACTCTTCTCATAAATGTTTTATTTTTAAAATACAGTCGTTTTTATTTAAAAATGTGATTTATTTTGACATGGAATGAATTTATTATTTTAAATTCATTGTTTAATAAAAATTGTAAATGCTTGGTTTATACAGAAGATATACATAGCCGTAACCCATATCAACAGAAACTGTTTGAGGTCCTCAGTATTATTAAAGAGCATAAATAGTTCCTTGAAACCAAAATGTTTGAGAAACACTGCTGTAATTATAGTTATAAAGAAGGTTTAAAAGTTACAAATAAACTATTTTTCTTCCTATAAAAAATCTTATGCAATACAAAATATATTTTGCAACTACTTTTATAACCCATATTGGAAACATTTAAAAAAATTTTTATTAATACTTATTCATTGAACACCCATGGTGTGATTTACATTTGTGCTAATTGCTGGGTTAATAGAATGAGTACAATAAAGACTCTGATATGCAACTTTCTCATAATTTAATAGAAGAATCTGAAATGCAAGTAATTACGACAATGAAATTTTAGGAACAACTAAGAGAAAGTAATGGAATTTATAAAACATTGTTCATACCCATGCATACGTATGTGTCAGTGTGTACCACATTCACACATGCACCATTTATTTATATTTTTTGATGTATGTGAAGAGAAATACATTCATATGATCTTTTATTAAATGGTCCATAATTATTAGAAAATGCATCCTTTAACTTTTAACTGTAAACTTCAGAGATGTAATAGGTGCTGATCAACAACTGTACAGTGGTTTTGAAAGTCTTTATTCAACCAAGCACAAAGCAGCAAAATGGAGAGAATAGGTGATGAGTTTTAGAATCAGAAAGACCTAAGGTGGAGTTTAGCTCTATTACTTATTTAAATATTGAGGATAAGTTTGCTCCTCTGAAATAAGACCAGCTCTATGAATCTCAAATAATTGCAAGTCAATGGAGCTCAAAAATCTTGTCCTTACTGTACACTCAACACATTTCCCCTTCTTTTAGAGAGAAATTATCAAAAAGAAAAAAAAAGAATAAAATGTAATGCTCAAAAAATGAGTCTCTTTTATTTAGAACTCCATCTCATGGCTCTAGAAACACAGCTGTTAGAAGCAAGCCAAAGAAATTCTTCCGATTTTAAAAAATGATAATTTGCTATGTATATGTTCCATAAAGCACTGGCTACATCTGCAAGGCTAGAAAGACAAATTAGCAAGTGTAATAGTGAAGAACATTGAAAATGTTTAGGTTCAAAAGATAGTAGTGTCTTTTATGAAAATAAGGCTCATTTTCTATTCCTCATTAATCCAGCTCCTTTATGGGCTTTTAGGAACAGGAGACAAATGTGACGGATCTCATTGGATCTGAAATGGTAGCCGTATCAAATGTGGATGCTCTATTTTATTATTATTTTCACAGTTTTAATGAGGTATCATGTACATACCGTGAATGTAGACATAGTAAATGTACAAATCAATCACTTTTACTAAACTTAGGAAGTTTGTATGACCATCATCACAATCTAAAACATTGTTTTAGAACGTTTCGATCATTACCAAGGTCCCTTGAGCCTGCTAGTAATAGCCATTTCCAGCGCTCTTCTTCCAGCCACACGTGAGAGGTTTGCTTTCTGTCTCTGTAAGTTTGCCTTTT